GATTAAATAAAGGATATTTATAAACTAACCTTTGTAAGAGAATCCCCAGTTGCTGGGTGCTGATCCTCTCTGTCTCTGGGGTCAGGTATACTGGGACTGAAGGCCATGAGGTCCGTCTTGGGTGGCCCCTCTCCAGAACACACCTTCTGCCGCCTTTGCTGCGAATACGACCAGCTCCCCACCGCGCTGGAGCACACCAGCCTGGGCTTCCCCGTCGCACACACGCTCTCTGTGGGCGGTGCCGAGCACCGCAGCGCCATGTACAGCAGCAGCGTGAGCACCAACAGGCTGGACACCGCGCAAATGGCGATGATCAGGTACACGTTGACATCAACCAGCGCTGTCTCTGCGCTCGAGGCTCCTGCCAAAGCCCGCAACGAGGCCTTTGGCGCCTGGCCGCTCTCCCCTAGAGACAGCAGCACGGTGGCCGTGGCCGTCAGCGCCGGCTCGCCGTGATCCTTCACCAGCACCAGCAGACGTTGACGCGGCGCGTCCGCCTCGTCCAGGGCGCGAGTCGCGCTGATCTCGCCCGTGTACAGCCCCACGCGGAACGGGCTGCGCCCGCCACCCGCCGCCGGCTGCAGCTCGAAAGACAGCCACGCGTTGTAGCCAGAGTCCGCGTCCACCGCGCGCACCTTCGCCACCACGTGGCCCGCGCCCACCGACCGCGACACCAGCTCGCTCACCGCGCCGGCCCCGCCGCCCGCCCCAGGCGGCAGCAGCGCGGGCGCGTTGTCGTTCTCGTCCAGCACGAACACCTGCAGCGTCACGTTGCTGCCCAGAGGCGGCACGCCCGCGTCGCGCGCGCTCACCTGGAACTGCAGCAGCTCCAGCTCCTCGTGGTCCAGCGGCTGCAGCGCGTACACCTTGCCGCTCTCCGCGTGCACCGACACGTAGCTCGACAGCGCACGCTCGCCCACGCGCCGCTCCACCAGCGAGTAGGACACCCGCGCGTTCTCCTGCGTGTCCGAGTCCCGCGCAGTCACGGTGAAGATGTGGCTGCCCGGCGGGTTATTCTCCTTCACGAACACCGTGTACTCGGGCTGCGCGAACGAAGGCGCGTTGTCGTTCACATCGGCCACCTCCACGGACACGCTGGCCGTGGCCGACAGTGAAGGCGAGCCCCCGTCCCACGCTGTCACCACTACCTCATAGTTCGCCACGCACTCGCGGTCCAAAGCACTGTCCAGCACCAGCGAATAGTAATTTTTGAAAGTGGACACCAGCTTGAAGGGGACCTGAGGGGTGAGGGTGCAGGTCACCTGCCCGTTGGCACCGGAGTCACGGTCGGACACGCTTATCAGGGCGATGACAGTGCCCAGTGGAGCGTCTTCTCTGATTGGGAGTGACAGGGACTTGAATTCCATTGCTGGGACATTATCGTTGGTGTCTTCAACTTCCACCATAACTGTACAATGGCCAGAAAGTGGGGGCTGTCCCTTATCAATGCCCTCTACAAGAATTTCATAGGATTTGCTTTCTTCAAAATCGATATATCCCTTTACCATAATTTCTCCAGTAACTGGATCTATGTGGAACTTCGATTTTACATTAGGTAAAATATCAGCTGAGAATGAATAAATAATGTCCCCATTTGAGCCTTGATCTAAGTCTGAGGCGTTAAGTTTAATTACCAACATTCCATTAGGAACATTTTCTGGTAATTTCACCGCATAGAGTGTTCTGTCGAAAGATGGAGCGTTGTCATTGGCGTCCAGCACTTTGACGAGTAACTGAACGGTGCCAGTCAGCTCAGGTTTGCCGCCATCAGTGGCCGTGAGCACTAAAAATATCTCCGGAGCTTCTTCCCTGTCTAAAGGTTTCTTTAATACTAGCCCAAGACGTTTTACCTGCTCGTGATCAGATGTTTTTTCCAGCGAGAAATACTCATTGGGGCTCAGTCTGTAAGTCAGCAGAGCATTCTCCCCAGTATCTGCATCGGAGGCGCCCTCTAGTGGAAACCGAGAGTCAAGCGGCCTGGATTCCGCCATAAACAGATTCTTTTGTGTTCCAGGGAAAACAGGCGGGTTGTCGTTAATGTCCTTCACTTCCACCTCCACATGGAAAACCTGCAGCGGCCGGTCCACGATCACCTCCAGGTGGATGCTGCACTCCAAGCTCCGCCCGCACAGCTCCTCGCGGTCGATCCGAGAATTCACAAACAAAATGCCATTCTGCAGATTTACCTCCAGAAGGTCCCCGCGGCCTTTGGACGCCACCCGGAACAGGCGCGGCACCAGCTCCGCCAGCTCCAGCCCCAGGTCCTGGGCGATGCAGCCCACGAAGGTGCCGTGTTTGGCCTCCTCCGCGACCGAGTAACGGACCTGCCCGTTCCCAGCCTCCCAGGCTGCGAGGAACAGAAGTGAGAGCAGCAGGCGCCGGGATTCCTGCCCACTTCGCCAGGAAAACTCCATCTCAAGCCTGCAGTGCTTTGTTCTCATTAAGGGATCCTCTTCCAAAATCAAGCGATATCTTCTGATCGTTCAATCCAGGGCCTCTGCATCCTCCATTTTTCTGCATCTGGATGGTGGATGCTGCTTCTTTACAAAAGAACTAGAAGGGAGTTAGTTTTTCTCTCCTTCTCTACCAGATCAGTTTTATGGTAGAGAGCGACATCATGTGGTTCCACAACGTAAGTATCGATTCTGGAAATCCATTAAACTGCTGCGTCTTATTTATTCTTTCAGCCATTCTGCAAACTTGTACCACCGTTGGGGAATAGAACCACATTTTGTACCACTGATTGACTGAGTACGATCCTTAGTTCCACTACAGGGGCAGCTTTTACTTCAGTGGAAATCCTTTTTATATACAGGTGTTAAGTATTTACAGAGACCCAACTGTAGTTAACACACACTTTGTAAATATACAGTTGTAAAGTGTTGGTTAGGAAAATTCATGACAGATTTTTTGTGTGTTCCCAAGAATGTGGGAAGGTTGTTATCAATGATAACACACTCTTCATCTTTGGATTACATATTCCTGCTGTTGAAGACCTCAGAGAACCTATCCCTAGAGAACCTCTGATTCCAAGAACAAGCCATTGAAAGGGCATTTTGCAAATGTTCAAAAAAGGAAGCAAAGACCATCAGCATTTAATTGAAAGTCTTCCTTGAATCATCTAAGGGCTGAAGGTTCGAGGAAGATTTAACAAGGAAGTAGGATGTTACAGGATACTATTTATTCCATTAGTATAATACAGCATAGTGTTCCACTTGTGTGGAAAAGCATTTCAAATAATTTTATTCACTGGAACCCATTCACCTTCCACGAGCAAGATTAATATTCTCATTTTGTCTCTTCTGGTTTAGAAATACTTGCCTGTTTTCCAGTCCCTAAAATGTCTCAGCTTTGGTTTCCAGTGGCAAGGAAACTTGAATGGGAGTCCAACTATTTGTTAGAGGAAATGATCAAATACCAAATAGAGGAATGACTGAAAAATAATCTCACTTCAATTTTATTTGGCACCAGGATTTTGAGGTTTGTACTTACAACATGACACACATTTATACATAGGTTGGTATGTAGAGGAAGGTCACCAGTAATGACAGTAACTCACTGAGGTTTTTGGACATTAACATCCTTAACACTTTATGTTAAAGAGTTTAATGATTAATAAGTTCTGCTAGTAGAATATTTTTTAATTAGATATACAGTATTATTCTCAACAAATTGTTCAGATGGAAAATAATAATTCTTAACAAGATTAGGGGGCCACTCTGTGGCCAAGTGGTTAAGTTCATGCGCTCCGCTTTGGCAGCCCAGGGTTTGCCAGTTCAGATCCCGGGTGTGGACCTGGCACTACTCATCAGGCCATGCTGAGGCGGCGTCCCACATACCAGAACCAGAAGGACTTACAACTAGAATATACAACTATGTCCGGGGGCCTTTGGGAAGAAGAAAAAGAAAAGAAAGTAAAAAGATTGGCAACAGATGTTAGCTCAGGTGCCAATCTTAAAAAAACAACAAGATTAATAATGTCCTTTCAAAAAGAATATTTTCTAAATGATATACTAAAGGGAGTGTTAAAATTTCACTTCCTAATGATTTTTTAAAAAGATTTTATTTTTTCCTTTTCTCCCCAAAGCCCACTGGTACATAGTTGTGTATTCCTGGTTGTGAGTCCTTCCAGTTGTGGCATGTGGGATGCCACCTCAGTGTGGCCTAATGAGTGGTGCCATGTCTGTCCAGGATTGAACCAGCGAAACCCTGGGCTGTCAAAGCAGAGTGCACAAACTTAACCACGCGGCCACGGGCTGGCCACCCCATCAATTTTTTTAATGCTTACTAATATAAGTAGTGAGAAACTGAAGATGAACAAAGATGCAATTCTAGAAGCAAAAAAATTCTTATTCTGTTTTGTTTTTACCCAACTGGGAAACTAGTCACAATACACAGTATCACCAAATGGGAGCATAAGGACTGAAATGAATCAGTTAAAATAGAAAGGAAGAACTGAGACTCCAGATAAATGAATAAGTGAGTAGAAAAGGCTCCATAAGATATAATAGGTTTAGTAAACCAATATTTGAAACTGAAGATATAAAATCATAATGAAAAGGGAATGGTGAGCACTTAGGAGGAACTCATAAAATGGGCCAGTAACGTTTGAACTAATGTCTAACAGGAATTCCAAAAGAAAAGTCGCAAAAGCTATTGAAGCATTTGCAGGGAGTAGTACACCATGGTTGGAGTTAAATATTCTAAATAATGCAACTCATCCAGGAAAACATATCTAGTTTCTATACAGACGTTTAGCAGTGAAATAATCCCACTACTGCACCTACTAACAAAAAACAAAGCCACAGTGTGGTTCTCACTACGTATTGCTGATTTGGTTCAAAAACATTCACAAGAAATTCAAACATTTTAACCACAAAACCAGTACCTGGAAAACTCTAATTACCAAAACCATAATGAACGGTTACAATGTTTCCAAAGGAGTAGAAACATTGAGGAATAAAACATACATTTTTGAAAGGATAAAAAAAATTACTCACTTTTGAAGAAAAATCAACATCCACATCCAGCTGTTCTTCTATATGCCCGTTAACCGGACCCGGTGGAAGGCTTGGGCTAAAGGCCATGAGGTCCGCCTTCGGTGGCCCCTCCCCAGAGCACACCTTCTGCCTCCTCTGCTTCGAGTAGGACCAGCTCTCCACCGCGCTGGAGCACACCAGCCTGGGCTTCCCCGGCCCGAACACGCCCTCGGTGGGCGGCGCCGAGCACCGCAGCGCCACGTACAGCAGCAGCGTGAGCACCAACAGGCTGGACACCGCGCAGATGGCGACGATCAGATACACGTTGACATCCACCAGCGCCGTCTCTGCGCTCGCGGAGCCCACCGACGCCCGCGACGAAGCCTTTGGCGCCTGGCCACTCTCCACCAGAGACAGCAGCACGGTGGCCGTGGCCGTCAGCGCCGGCTCGCCGTGATCCTTCACCAGCACCAACAGGCGCTGGCGCGGCGCGTCCGCCTCGTCCAGGGCGCGAGTCGTGCTGATCTCGCCCGTGTACAGCCCCACGCGGAACGGGCTGCGCCCGCCACCCGCCGCCGGCTGCAGCTCGAAAGACAGCCACGCGTTGTAGCCAGAGTCCGCGTCCACCGCGCGCACCTTCGCCACCACGTGGCCCGCGCCCACCGACCGCGACACCAGCTCGCTCACCGCGCCGGCCCCGCCGCCCGCCCCAGGCGGCAGCAGCGCGGGCGCGTTGTCGTTCTCGTCCAGCACGAACACCTGCAGCGTCACGTTGCTGCCCAGAGGCGGCACGCCCGCGTCGCGCGCGCTCACCTGGAACTGCAGCAGCTCCAGCTCCTCGTGGTCCAGCGGCTGCAGCGCGTACACCTTGCCGCTCTCCGCGTGCACCGACACGTAGCTCGACAGCGCACGCTCGCCCACGCGCCGCTCCACCAGCGAGTAGGACACCCGCGCGTTCTCCTGCGCGTCCGCGTCCCACGCAGACACCGTGAAGATGTGGCTGCCCGGCGGGTTATTCTCCTTCACGAACACCGTGTACTCGGGCTGCGCGAACGCCGGTGCGTTATCGTTCACGTCGGCCACCTCCACGGACACCCTGGCTGTGGCCGACAGTGAAGGCGAGCCCCCGTCTCGCGCTGTCACCACCACCTCATAGTTCGTCATGCTCTCGTGGTCCAAGGCGCTGTCCAGCACCAGCGAATAGTAATTCTTGAAAGTGGACACCAGCTTGAAGGGGGCATGAGGAGTCAGGGTACAAATGACCTGCCCGTTTGCACCAGAGTCTCGGTCGGACACGCTGATCAGGGCAATGACTGTGCCAAGTGGAGCGTCTTCAAGTACGGGTAACGATAGTGATTTGATAACCAACTCAGGAATATTATCATTGGCGTCCAAAATTTCTACTAGAACCGTGCAGTGATCTGCCATCGGGGGAATTCCTTTATCTCTCGCTTCTACTTGGATTTCATATAACTTAGTTTCCTCAAAATCTATGTTACCCTTTACACTGATGTATCCATTAACTGGGTCTAAGTGGAATTTCGACAGAATATCTGCCGACATGTCTGTATTGAAAGAATATACGATGTCCTTATTTATTCCTTCATCCAAATCAGAGGCGTTAACAATCACTGCTAGGGTGCCGTTTGGTGCATTTTCGAGTAACTTGACTTTATAGACCGTCCTCTCAAACTCTGGGGCGTTGTCGTTTACATCCAGAATGGTGATCTTCACTTGAGTAGTACCAGTGAGCTCTGGTTTCCCACCATCAACTGCCGTTATTATTAACTGATGCTCAGGAGTGTCCTCTCGATTTAAAGGTTTTTTCAACACGAGCCCAAGGGATTTAATTTCCTCATCATTTCTTTTAACATCCAAGGTAAAATAGTCATTGGAGTTAAGAGTATAGGTCAACAGTGAATTTACTCCGATATCTGCATCTGTTGCGCCCTCTAGCGGAATCCGAGAACCAGGCGGCCGGGATTCGTAAATAAACAAATTTTTTACTGACATTGGGAAAACCGGCTGGTTGTCGTTAATGTCCCTCACCTCCACCTCCACATGGAAAACCTGCAGCGGCCGGTCCACGATCACCTCCAGGTGGATGCTGCACTCCAGGCTCCGCCCGCACAGCTCCTCGCGATCGATCCGAGAATTCACAAACAAAATGCCATTCTGCAGATTTACCTCCAGAAGATCCCCGCGGCCTTTGGACGCCACCCGGAACAGGCGCGGCACCAGCTCCGCCAGCTCTAGCCCCAGGTCCTGGGCGATGCGGCCCACGAAGGTGCCGTGTTTGGCCTCCTCGGGGACCGAGTAGTGGACCTGGCCGCTACTGGCCTCCCATACCGCGAGGAGCAGAAGCGAAAGCAGTAGTCGGCGAACTCCCGGACCTTCTCTCCAGGAAAACACCATTGCAAGCCTTTTCCAAATATTGGGTCCCTCTTGCATGGATCCAAAATTAAAAAAATAATTTGAGCTCCTTGTTCTTCATTTCTTAAATAACCATACCATGGCTGTATTTCATAGATGGTGAGGAAATGGAGTGTCTGAGTACGTAACGCACGCTGTATTTCTTTTGTCGTGAAAGACCTTGTGGTGGACAGCGACATCATGTGGCTAAATGTGTAAGTATTAAATGTGATTATCTTCTTTTCCTTTTACTTCGTTTGTACTTTCCCCAAATTTCTATTTTCAATGTAATTTCCTTCAAGGACTCCTCAAAATCTTTATATTTTACCAAAATATATCCTTAGAATTTTTATACTAACTTATCACTTTCAATTATGCCAATCCATGACACAGTAAAATATAGTAAAACAGTGATTACTGTTTTAACAGTAGTGGACATCTATTAGAAATATTTCCCATGTGACAAGCACTGTTCTATTTGTTTTAATGGGCTTATCCCATTAAATTTTCACAACAACCTTCTGAGGTAGGTATTAAGATGATTTCCTTTTTACGGACAAAGAAGTGGAAACACATATAGGTTAAGTAACTTAAAAGAATATTAACCGGTCGTGTTGGGTGGGATCTCAATCTGATCCAAGACTCGTAAATTTAACCACTTGGCCTCAGAGTCCACATTTCATACAAAAATCATACCCTTGATATTTGTGACCATCAAAACATCAAGAGATTGAAAATATGTGTGTGTATATATTCATATATATACAATTTACTTCTATATTATTATGGAAAACGTTCATTTACAAAATATGTTCACTTATGCTTATTAATTTATAGAATGTATATAAACCAATCTTGTATCTTTTATCCGATGACTATATCCTTGTTATCTGTCTGAAGTTTATCTACGTAAAGATGCCAGAAGTCAGTCTTTTACAGTGCAGTTCTTTTGTAAATTTGTTTTTTGCTACATGAAAATATTGTGTGATTTGGGTAGTTAGTACATTAACATCACACCAAATAAGAGTATATTCGTTTAAGAAATTTGCACATCATTTATGTCTTTCAATTTACCTGGATATGCTAAAATGTTCACAATATAAAATAATTGTGTTTTTAATGATCTCCACCATGGATGAATTTCTGGATTCCGGTTTCTTAAAAAGCTATTACTTGAAAGAATTCATGACTTAAACAATGAGTAAAGAGAGAAAAATAACTTTGGAACGTGATTCACTACTCGACGTATGTAAGATGAGGCAATGAAATATCCTAAAGATCTCTGTGAAGTCAATGAGAGGCATGAGTGCTCTGAGAATTTAGAAGTTGAGCAGAGAAAACTCATGGGGAGAAGTTGAATTTAGAGCGGGAAGAGAACGTCCAATATTTTGCTTATAGTCAGACCCTTTTTAAGTGAAATCAAACATGATTTAAGTATTAGGAGAAAAGATTTAATATCAGTTTTTTTCCCATGTACTCATTGAATGCAAGCCAGGATTGTAACTTACTCATATTTTATCATTCATATTTAGAATAAAATAAATTGTCAATTAATGTTTTAATGAATAAGTGAATATTTTAAATTAACAATCAAGTAATATGAGGTGTTACATTAATGATATTTGTTAATGTCAAACTTACATAATTTCTAATTGATTCTATTGTACCAGTTCATGATGAAGCAAGTAAACATTTAAGATTGTTTTGGAAAAGCATGGATTTAGGGAATAATTAAATATATCAATATGCCAGTTAGTGCTTTGATGAATCTTGAAAAGCAGTAGCTAATTTTAAAGTGAGAGACAAAATTAAAATTTTAAAACATCATGGACTTCATATTAATGAGATGCCTTTGACAACTTATGTAATTCTATATACTTCATGACATTTAAAAGTATACTAACTGCAAAATGAAATGCCACAGGGAATTTATAACAGAGTAGACTCCATAATGATTATTACAAGATAAAGGTAATACTAAAGGAAATATGAGTTTAGAAGATTGAGCCAATGTGTGGATAAGGCATCAATGAATAATATCTACTCTCTCTTAGACATCTCCTTAGGCAACTTAATTAAGATAAATGTAAATAAGGAATAAGAAACCAATAAGAACTTATACAGCAATAGATTGTGACTCCTGGAGATATGGGCACACCTGGATATCGTTTTAAAAGCTTATAATTTACCTATAGTAGAAACGTAGTGGCTAGACTTCCAGTAGGACAGATTCCACCTGACCATTCATACTTTGTGCACACAAGTCTCAAGAAGGTGGTGATAGCTATGATACTCCAGTCGAAATGACTCCTCCCAAGAAAGAGCTTCTTTCTCATTTGTTCAAGCCATTTGTTTTTCTCTATACAGCCTCAGATGAACTTTTTTGACTCCCAGGAAATATATAATCTCTGCATTTTGAGGCTTATCAATCCTGAGGAGCTAATAAGCTTCCTTCAGGAAGAGACTATCCTTAAATGGAGTTGAAGATTTCTCCACTAAATTCCTCAATTCCTTTAAAAGAAGATCCCAGATGGAAATTGATATTCTGCCTATCTGTGCAGTGGCTAAAGCTAAGATCACTTAGTGGAAGTTATTTCTAGGATTCATCAACATCCACGTACATTTGGGAAAGAAAACAGAAAGTAACTAAGAACCAAATAGTAGAAGACAGTTTTAGACAATTCATCCCAAACATCTTCCTTTGGTTAAAAAATTTTTTCTTTAATTTCCTTTCCAAGTGTAACATTTACTTGTCAAATTTAGTGTTTTAATTACCCAACACAGGAGTTTCCAATGAAAATGTGGTCATCCAACACCAGTCCCCACCTTTTGGAAAAACCCCATCTTCATTAGGAATATGGATGTGGCCAGATGAAATTGAGTGAGCCCACAGTCATGGAAAATGTTATCCCAGGCAGAGAGTGTGGTGTCAGAGCAAGGTGGTCAGTCTCTGCACAGTGGGAGGCCTGCATACATTAGCCCAGAGATACTGATACTGGAAGCATGACTGAGCAACCCGCTAACATAAAGACCGGGTTAAAGTACTCTCCACTTGTATGCAGAAAAAGTCGTACCACCTGGCCACCCACAATGTGATTTTTTAAATGTTAAGATTTTTTAAATAAACAAAATTGAGACTGGGCTCTTTTCTCAGTGAACTCTCTATTGTGCCTTAAAACCAAGGATTTTGAAAGAGTGAAATCTTTATCCAAATAACAGGTTATTTTACTACTGAAAGACAAATCTAGGATTAGCAACGATTCCTAACTGATGTCATGTGTTGTAATGGCCTATGATAGATACTTTTGGAAGTTCTGGCATTAAAAGATGCATTCAGGCTGCTTTCAGATATAAGGAAAAGGAAAACTAACTTATTAACTGTTGCATAAACAGATAAACACAAATGAATTCTTGCTCAAAATAAAATAGCTTGGGGGGGCCAGCCCGGTGGTGTAGCGGTTAAGTTCGCCCACTCAGCTTCAGTGGCCAGGGGTTTGTGGGTTAAGACCCCGAGTACAGACTACACACCGCTCATCAAGCCATGCTGCGGCAGCGCCCCACATACAAACATAGAGGATGACTGGCACAGATGTTCGCTCAGGGACAATCTTCCTCAAGCAAAAAGAGGGAGATTGGCAACAGATATTAGCTCAGGGCCAATCTTCCTCACAAGAAAGAAAAAAAACTTTAGGAAATGTCCAGATATACAACATAGTCTTAGTCCAACATATTCTGACAGAATGGATGGATGGTGTACATTGGAAATATGTATTACATAATCATACTCTTTAATTTTCTTCCAACTGTGATTTTTAAACATTTAACTAAAAATATTTACAGCTAATGTTAAGTTTTCAGATTTTGCTTAAGTGTTTTTCAGCCCTTCAAGGTCCTATTATTCATGGAGAGATTTAATTATGGAAAAGCCAAAATGTAAAAATAAGAAAACCATCTGAGTAAATTCTTCTCAATGCAAGAAACTGATCTCTAATTCATACAATATACTGAACAACAGGATAACGACATAAAATAAAGGCAGAGCTAAGAATCAAAATAATTGATAGAATCATAAAGAATAAAGGAAATAGAACAATTATAGAATTGACAGGAAAACATTAAAACACTCACCTTTCCTAACTGTTCTGATTCTGAGAAGTGTTGTCTTTCTTCTACGGAGCCTGGACCTTGAGGTAGGCTGGGACTGAAGGCCATGAGGTCTGTCTTGGGTGGCCCCTCCCCAGAACACACCCTTTGATGACGCTGCTGCGAGTACGACCAGCTCCCCACCGCGCTGGAGCACACCAGCCTGGGCTTCCCCGTCGCACACACGCTCTCTGTGGGCGGTGCCGAGCACCTCAGCGCCGTGTACAGCAGCAGCGTCAGCACCAACAGGCTGGACACCGCGCAGATGGAGATGATCAGGTACACGTTGACATCCACCAGAGCTGTCTCTGCGCTCGAGGCTCCTGCCAAAGCCCGCAACGAGGCCTTTGGCGCCTGGCCGCTCTCCACCAGAGACAGCAGCACGGTGGCCGTGGCCGTCAGCGCAGGCTCGCCGTGGTCCTTCACCAGCACCAGCAGACGTTGACGCGGCGCGTCCGCCTGGTCCAGGGCGCGAGTCGTGCTGATCTCGCCCGTGTACAGCCCCACGCGGAACGGGCTGCGCCCGCCACCCGCCGCCGGCTGCAGCTCGAAAGACAGCCACGCGTTGTAGCCAGAGTCCGCGTCCACCGCGCGCACCTTCGCCACCACGTGGCCCGCGCCCACCGACCGCGACACCAGCTCGCTCACCGCGCCGGCCCCGCCGCCCGCCCCAGGCGGCAGCAGCGCGGGCGCGTTGTCGTTCTCGTCCAGCACGAACACCTGCAGCGTCACGTTGCTGCCCAGAGGCGGCACGCCCGCGTCGCGCGCGCTCACCTGGAACTGCAGCAGCTCCAGCTCCTCGTGGTCCAGCGGCTGCAGCGCGTACACCTTGCCGCTCTCCGCGTGCACCGACACGTAGCTCGACAGCGCACGCTCGCCCACGCGCCGCTCCACCAGCGAGTAGGACACCCGCGCGTTCTCCTGCGCGTCCGCGTCCCACGCAGTCACCGTGAAGATGTGGCTGCCCGGCGGGTTATTCTCCTTCACGAACACCGTGTACTCGCGCTGCGCGAAAGTTGGTGCGTTGTCGTTCACGTCGGCCACCTCCGCGGACACCCTGGCTGTGGCCGACAGTGAAGGCGAGCCCTTGTCTCGCGCTGTCACCACCACCTCATAGTTCGCCACGCTCTCGCGGTCCAAGGCGCTATCCAGCACCAGAGAATAGTAATTCTTGAAAGTGGACACCAGCTTGAAGGGGGCATGGGGAGTCAGGGTGCACGTAACCCGTCCGTTGGCACCAGAGTCGCGGTCAGACACCGTGATGAGGGCGATGGCGGTGCCCAGCGGAGCGTCCTCTCGGATGGGAAGTGAAAGAGACGTTATTGAGACTTCTGGTGTATTATCATTGACATCCACAAGTTTTACCGAAATTTTACAGTGCCCAGACATTGATGGAGTTCCATTGTCATAAGCAACGACTTGAATCTCGTAGGATTTCATTTCTTCAAAATCTAATTGTCCCTTAGTTCTGATTTCCCCTGAGGTAGGATCTATTCTGAACTTCGTCGTTATAGTGGAGGGCACGTCACTACTAAATGAATACACAATCTCGCTGTTTGATCCTTCATCTGCATCAGAAGAATTTAGTTTAACCACTAACGTTCCGTTTGCGGTGTTCTCTAACAATTGTACTTTGTAAACTGATTGGTCAAAAGTAGGTTCGTTGTCATTCACATCTAATACCTTAATTAGCAATTGAACGGTGCCCGTGAGTTCAGGTTTGCCCCCATCAGTAGCCACCAGTAACAAATTAAACTCGGCAGTTTCCTCTCTGTCCAGAGACTTTCTCAGTACAAGAGACAAAGACTGGCTTGGTTCATCGTTTGTCTGTATATCTAGAAAGAAAAACTCGCTGGAGCTGAGCTTGTAGGAGAGAAGACCGTTTACTCCGATATCTGCATCAGATGCTCCCTCTAGAGGAAACCGCGAGTCAAGCAGCCTCGATTCGGGAAACAGGATAGTCTTTACTGCCGTTGGAAATATCGGCGGATTGTCGTTTATGTCCTTCACCTCCACTTCCACATGGAAAACCTGCAGCGGCCGGTCCACGATCACCTCCAGGTGGATGCTGCACTCCAAGCTCCGCCCGCACAGCTCCTCGCGGTCGATCCGAGAATTCACAAACAAAATGCCATTCTGCAGATTTACCTCCAGAAGGTCCCCGCGGCCTTTGGACGCCACCCGGAACAGGCGCGGCACCAGCTCCGCCAGCTCCAGCCCCAGGTCCTGGGCGATGCGGCCCACGAAGGTGCCGTGTTTGGCCTCCTCGGGGACCGAGTAGTGGACCTGCCCGCTCCCCACCTCCCAAGCTGCGAGGAGCAGAAGCGAGAGCAGCAGGCGCCTGACCTCCCGGCCCCTTCTCATAGAAGACACCATTACCAATTCTCAGGGAGTTGAGCAAATTAGAAAATCATGGTTTGCAAAATTTTAAATATTGTCCTCTAGTCCCTGCTCAAGTCCTGCTGCTTCTCTTATTGTTCTGCTTCTACGGAGTGACAGTGGGGATCTGGGTATTTTTCTTCCTCGAGAATACTCTGTGGTAGACAGCGACATCAAGTGGTCAAAATGTAAGCTCTACTGTTTATCCTGTAGATTTAAAACTAGCGCAATTGTCTGGTCTAAATTTACTGATAACTTTCATCTTGGAAAAACACCTATGTTAAACTCTGAAATATATCATTTCCCCTTTTTATTGTATTAAAAAACATAAAATTTACCACCTCAATCATTTATAAGTTTACAGTTTAGTAGTGTTAAGTATACTCACATTGTTGTGAAACAGATCTCCAGAACTTTTCATCCTGCAAATCTGAAACTCTGTACTCATTAGGCAATTCCCCTTTTCCACCATCACACTATACCCCCTAACCACCATGCCACTTTCCGTTTCTATGAATTTGACTATGTTAGATAACTCATGTAAGTGGAATCATACAGTATTTGTCTGTGATTGGTTTATTTCACTTAGCATAATGTCCTCAAAGTTCAACCATGTTGTAGCATGTGACTGGATTTCCTTCCTTTTTAAGGTTGAAAAATATTCGATGTATATACCACATGTTGTTTATCTATTCACCCATCTGTCCACGGACATTTGGGTTGCTTCCACCTCTTGGCTATTGTGAATCGTGCTGCTATGAACACGGGTGTGGAAATATCTCTTTGAGACCTTGCTTTCAATTCTTTTGGATATATTACCTTTTTTTTTTACCATTTCTTCAAACAAAGCACACAGGAATCAAAGGGTATTTTAGCCAAATGAAAATATATTTATATATTCCATTGTTGAATTGTTGTGATTTAATTTTCTTTTCTGAACCATGTGCAGATGTTTGGAACCTAGTAGCTTATTTGTTCCTCATTTGGATAATGTATTCTTTTTTTTTCCTGCTTTATCTCCCCAACCCCCCCTGTATATAGTTGTATATCTTAGCTGCAGGTCCTTCTAGTTGTAGGATGGATAATGTATTCTTAATTGAGGAATATTTCCTTTTCTACTACATATGGATTTTTAGGCAGGAACAAAATAATTGATCTCTTTTTTCCTGTTAATTATTTGAGAATATCTTGTTCTGTTAGTTCCTAGCTGGCCACTTCACACACAAACAATATGAAAATAGGATAAAAATACCATAGGGATGACACGAAATGAATTGAGGGGTGGGTCAGTGTTTGAAATACATAATAGTCATTTTCAGTTACTCTAATGAGGTCACAAATTTTGTTTTCAGCAAAGAGAAAAACAAAATTAATTGCAAGATTTACAGTGTCCATAAAAGAAAAGCAAAATCCTTGCTAAAGAAAAACTAGCTTTTCCTAGTACTGAAAACCAACACTAATTTCTCCCTTGAGCCCAAAACTTAAGATACTTATTCATACCATCTGTGGAAGTGTATATTTATATTAATAAGACTCTAACAATGAACCCCAAGTAAACCCACTTAAGCAAAAAAGCAGAGCATTATTTATTGTCTCATACATGGAAATGGATAATTATTTACCAATTTCAGGCAGATCTGGGTATACACACTTCGATAATGTCATAAGGAAAATAGTGCCACATTTATGATTTTTTTTCCTTTGCTGACCTTCTTCTCAGATAGGGTTTTCCCACGTGATGGTACAACAGCCAAAGTAGCTTTTAGGCTACATTTAGCAACTCTCACCAGAAAGAAGGTGTCCTTTTCCTAAAAAGCCCAGCAAAAACCCTAGAATATCACTTCGTTTGACCAAGTTTAGATAATGTATCTTTCCTTTAGTCAATAGTTGTGATGGTTCTCACATTGGCCAGACATAGATTGCTTATTCATTCTTGAAGCCAGGAGATGAAATCAGCCATGACTAAATTATGTGAACAGAAATGAGGAGGTTGGTTCCTGTGAACACCAGTGCAAGGCCTCATGTACCCAAATTCTCCTGAAGCTTAAACTGATTGCACAT